GGTCATTTGTCCACTTCTTGTAAGCTTCTTTTTTGTGTTTAAGATCAGCAAGGATTTCACTGTTTAGCCAAGCTGGTCGCCTGCCATATTTACTATTCTTTCTATACATCGGGATGGTTTGTTCCTGCAATCGCAATAAGGATTCTTTAAAATACAGCCAGAGGGCTTTGGCAATTTTCAGGACCCCGTCATGCACTGGTAGTGCAACACGTGCCGGGGTAGAGTCTGAGAGGACATTGAATAAGGTGTCTGCCTGCTCAGCCATCTCCTCCACCAATAGGCCCAAATTCTCGGCCACCTGTCAAAGCAGGGCCTGGTGTTCCTTAAAATCGTCCAGCGGACTGGACCTCAAGGGTCCTGCGACCGCCTCGTCCGGGGACGAGGACAACAGCTGTACAGCCGGGAGAGGCTCCAGGGCATCATCCCTTGTTGGAGATGGGGGGTTTTGGGGTGGGCACTGTCTCCTCTACCCCGACCTCTGAGCAAGTTCTCGTGGACCGAGCCCGGTGTTGCTGCCAGCTGTTGTTCTGAGACGGCAGCAGATGAATGGTGTGAAGGGGGCAATGCATTACCGGCATGCCCCACGCACTCCTTTAAGGCCACTTTCCTGGCCACTGGCCATGCTGCCAAGGCAGCCGTAGATGTTGAAGCAGCCTCAGGTGCCCATTCACACTGGTGGGGTCTTGACGAGGGGCTGACCTGCCCTTCCGTGCTGGAGGAATCACCTTCCAGTGACCATGGTGGGGCCGTCAATGCCTGTGTCTGCCTGCTGACCGTTGCTGCCGGAAATTGGTGTTTGGAGTGAGAGGATCGGTGCTGGTATCAAGGAGACCAGGGCCAGGGGGACTGGAATTGCAACGGGGAGCGCTCCCACAGGGCAGGCGACTGAGAGCTGGGCTGAGAACGACCAGCGGGAGGACAAACGGTGGCGGTGAAATGGAGACTGACGCCTTCCCCAAGGCTATCTGAGTTGAGATGGTGGGGATCGCAACTGTGGTGCCGGTGACCGAGGGTGAGCCCCAGAGGATCTGAGCTACATTGCTGGAGATCTGCAGCGCGGAAATGGAGAGCGCTGCCTCGTCTCGGGCTTCTTTATTTTCTTTCTGGGCACTGGCGACAGTGGTACGTTGTGCACTGAGGCCGAGGTACTAGGCGAGTCTTGTCAGGACGGCTCGGAAGTCGGACGAAGGGCCGCCTCCATGAGGAGACCCCGCAAACGATTATCCCGAACTTTCTGAGTCCTGGGTCGAAAATGTTTACAAATACAGCACTTGTCCTTCACATGTGACTCCCCCAAGCACTTGAGGAGGCTGCTGTGGGGGTCACTTACAGGCATAGGCCTGTGACAGTTCACGCAGGGCTTAAACACTGGAGACTGGGACATGCCCTACCTGGGGCAAAGTCCCCGCTGGGAATCTAACTTCTAACTCCTAACTACACTTAACAACTACTTAACGCTAACTACTATAAAAAACTATTTACAAGGTCCTAAGGCTCAAAGTCAGGAGAGACAAAACCACCAGCCCTTGCTATATAAAGATAAGCGCTCCGACTAACCACCACAGGCGATAAGAAGGAATGGAGAGAGCACAGTGCTGGCGGCACCTGATATACTGACGCACAAGTGCGGCACTCGACGTGGTGCCACAGCTGGCTCTACGAATACCTCTAAGGCAAAAATCTCTGACAACGGCGCATGTGGGCGCGCACACACCTAGAATGGAATTGACATGAGCAAGCACTTGAAGAACCACCATTCATTCTTAGAAGTCAGCTGATAAAACAATGCAGACAAAAGAAGAAATGCACATGCTTAATATCATGATATCATTTTCAAAAAATGATTTTTGGCATAGCAGATTCAGTCCTTTTATCTAAATGTTCTGTTGCGCAAAGAAATATTTTGTCTAATAAAATAACAAAATTACACTAGAGAGATATACATTCCCTCTCACTGGCAAATTTGCTTTCGGTGGCTCAGTTGCAGAAGTGTAGACCCTAAATTTCTCCTTGTCACTTACTGTGACTGCTAGGATGATTACCAGTTACCACTGAGGATTTCCCTGTTATCTAGGACTCCCTCCTTTGCTTCTCCACGCTGCTGCCTTCCTACCTGAAAGAAATATGTTAACCTACCCTAGCTCCCTATATAATATAGTGGGTTTCTTGTAAATGCCAGTGCTTGGAAAACCTAGTTGGCAGTGAGTCTGCATTGTCTCAAATGAGACACAGAAAATAAATTAAAAGGTGAATGGCATACAATGTCATTCTGTGGCTTGGTCTATGACAGCTCAGATGACGGGTTCTATAAATCAGTACCTTACCAGGGGGAAAAAAACCTAGGGAGGAAGAACAAAAATTCAAGCTTGGAATAGAAGACAACGACTAAGGGGAAGGGAAGAAGTGGATTATTTTATGCAACAGCAAATATATCCTGAACTACCATTGTTGGGTCTGGGCACCTGCTGCCAAAAAAGGGAGCACTTAGCATAGAATTTTGTTGCAAACAGGTCTTAAAAATAATTTACAAGCATTGCATTCTTACTGAATTTGGCTCTATTAAAGCAACCAAACCATTATCATCATAAAAGGATAAAAAAATATGCTATGGATAATAGTAGGATAATATTTTTGTGGATTGTGAAACTGTTTTATCTTTTTTTTTTAATTAGTATGTTCTAATTAACTTAAAACACTACGGAAGTTTAGAATTAAAAACAAAATTAAAAACAGCTGAATGGGATTATTGTAATTAGGGATACTGCAGTCTTAATGAAAAGTGGATTTAGCTAGATTAATATGCAAAGAGTTGACCTAAAACACTAATTGGCTCTACTTAAAATTAGCATACAATTTAAGGAAATTAAGAACCACCTGAGGAAACTGTGAATCATATACCAAAAACAGGAAAGTCAAATGTTTATATAAGATGTTGGCTTCCTACCAAAGAAAGAATGAAATATGAATTAAACAAATTGTTACAGATATAAACTGTCACTTCTGTTCTACAGGATAGAAAATGTTTCAAGTTTCTAACAACTATTCTGCAAGAAAGACTAAATGTTTGGAAATCCTTAGTAATGTTCCTGTTTGAGACATAGGCAAAAACTGGAAGACATGTTGAAGGATTTTTTTTCTCCCTCTCCCCCACTCCCATCACTTCTTGGCAGCATTTCTTTAAGAATATAAGAATGGCTATATATATAAGATGGACAAAAGTCCATCTAGCCCAGGATCCTGTCTTCCGACAGTGGCCAATGCCAGGTGCCCCAGAGGGAATGAACAGAACAGGTAATCATCAAGTGATCCATCCCCTATCACCCATTCCCAGCTTCTGACAAACAGAAGCTAGGGACACCATCCCGGCCATCCTAGCTAGTAGCCATTGATGAACCTATCCTCCATGAATTTATCTAGTTCTTTTTTGAACCCTGTTATAGTTTTGGCCTTCACAACATCCTCTGGCAGGGAGTTCCATAGGTTGACTGTGCACTGAGTGAAAA